GTCTGGTACTTCCTCTGCAGCCGGCGCCGCAACCTGCTCCGCAACCCGCGCGCCCAAGGTGCGTGCGGGCCTCGGCGCCCTGGAGCCCTCTGCCCGGCTTGTCGGGGCGAGCGGCCCCTGCCCCTGGCCTCACTCTGCTTTCTGCTCCTCCCCTAGAGAAGTTCAAGCACTGGAAGCTGGACTGCAACGGGGGCGACAAGTGGAAGGTGGAGGAGCTGCCGGGCACTCACGGGAACAGCTTTCCCAGCCCTGCTGTGCGCAAATACTTCGTCACGTCCTACGAGTGAGAGCTGGGGGCTCGGCGGTGGAGGAAGGGGGTTCGCGGGGCCCTTCTGGGCTAACAGCAATGGCTGGGGCTATAAATATCAGGAGTTTGGCATTCAGGCTGGCTCTTCTATGGAGATAAGGATGGGAAGGATAATGCTGCTGAGGCACCTACTCAAGGGTATCAAATGGCAAGAAACTGGGGAAAGCCCCCTCCTGGAGACAGGAAACTCCCTCCAATTTTGGGCTTTCCTGTCTCTCATGAGCATCTGATACATTATAATCTAGATGTAAACTTCCCCTCCAGCCTCTTTGTCTCAATCAGATTCAGAGTGTATATGTGTTCCCACCTCCTTCCAGCACCATAGTTGCAGGTCAATATTGACCTGCCCCCAAGCAATGAAAGAGTGGCATATGCTGATGCTGAACGCTCCCTTACTTTGTATCCCAGCCTCTGCCTGAAGTCCCAAATCATTGACTTGAAGAAAGAAGGATACTGGGAAGAGTTGATGGATAAGCACCGGCCTGACATCGTCGTCTCAGACTGGTAAGTACAGGCATCAAAAGCCAGAGTCTTTGCGTGGGGTAGGTGTGGATGCCAGTTGGGACTCTAGCATGCTGCGAATGGTGACCCTCAACCTCCTAAAGCTGTGAGGTTTAACAAAAGCCTGAGTCAGACTTGAGATTTGTTGCTGTATCTGGAAAGCGCCATGCCCTAGTGCTTGGAAGACAATGGTTGAACTCCAGATTGTCTACCCCACCGTGCCTGAGGGGATGATGCCCTTCTCACTGAGATCCTCCAACAAAAGGGGCTCAGTAAAGCGGCAGCACCTTGGTGTTACTGGAGAGCTGGAGGTACCGTTATAGGCAGTCAGTCCTTGCTGGCTTTCTCTCCCAAAGGCCATTAGCAAGCCCCTGTAAAGACTATCAGTCTGCCATGGTGATAGCAGCAATGGTCTGTCTCTAGCCATATGCTGCCCAGCGGGTGCCATTGCAGAGCCTGATTTCTCGCTGGCTCCCTAGGTACGCTGCCAGGTTTGATTGCGGGTGCCGGTACCAGCTCAAAGTGCAGCTGCTCTCTGCAGACTACCTTGTCCTCAACGAGTTCTGTCCTGAGCCGGTGATCATAGACCAGTGGAGTGACGCGGAGTGGAAGGAGGTGAGAGGATGTGGGCAGTAGCTGTAGGGGTGGTAGCTTTAGCTCTGTTTTGGTTTTAACGTGCATCTTGGATCTGACTGGTGACTGGGTAACTGCAGTTCCTTTTCCCCTTAGCGCACAGTCCCACATTGGCTTCCTCTAGCTCAAGCCTGATTGTCTGAAAGAGACCCCAAAATAAAACTGGGCGGGAGAAAATGTCTGCCTGGGACCTTTAAACTTTCTGCAAACTTTTTTCTTTTCTTTTGAAACATCAGCACAGCAGCATCCTAAACCTGGCTCAAGTTTAGCGTGAGGTTCCATTTCTCCAGCAAGAGAGTTGTATCTAAACCAGTGCTATTGCAATGATGCCAGAAGCTGTGTGGATGCTATTCCAGTTCATCTTAATCCTGCTCTTCCTCTAGCTGAGTTGAGCTGCTTTTAAATGGGATGAGAAAACCCACATAGCCTCTCTCATCCTTTCAGCTTAACTTTCACCAGTGCCACTTTTTTTGTAACATGGATGCCAGAAGTAAGGAACCTCTGGCCTTGTTTGTAGGAGGATTACCCCTAATTTGGCAGGTTCCCATGCTTACAGGAGAGGTTTGCACCTGTGCAGGTGGGTGGTCATGTTTTACCAAACTCTGGGCTAAGTCTTGGCATAGACAACACTGTGGTCAGATGAAGCATTTCTTTAAAATATATGTGCTCACCTATCCCTGACCTCAAATGGCTAAAACCTGAACCATGTTTCTGGAGGGTTTTTTTTATTTTAAGTCTTCCTGTTCTGCTCAGTTCCTCTTCTAGTTGATTCCCTTTATCCAGTATGGAAAATAAGACCAGTTCAGTCACTTTTCATGCTGTAGCACCACTGTTTTGTTTGGGTTTCAAAGTGTAGAGTTTAGAAATCCAGAAATTTTGTATGTAAAAAATAAACTATTGCATGGGTTTAGTTTTAGAAGAGGAGAAAGAGTAGTAGTAGTGGTGGCGATGATGATAATAGTGTTATAATTGGGGATCCTGGCTGTCTCCAATTTTAAAAAATCCCCAAATTTCGGTTAAAAAAAAATAACCCCAACTCCACATTTTTCCATGATTAAAATGAAACACCACTATATATATATATATATATATATCATCTCTCTCTCTCTCTCATATATATATTAGTGGTGTTTCATTTAAATCAGAAAAATGTGGAGTTGGGTTACTTTTTTTTTTTTTTTAACTGAAAATTGGGGATTTTTTCTTGAAGTGGAGAAAACCAAGCTCTCTGGTTATAATGCAAAGGGCCGTCTTTCTATGCGCCACCAAAAGTCTATAAAAGGCAGTAGTCTGCTGGCTTGGAGTGTGACTGGTCAGAAACCCAGGGCCCTGACCCTGGCTAAGATTTACAGAAAGGCCTGAACAAGTTTGCAGGGTGTATGTGGTGGGAGTAGCTTGATTTCCCCCTGCCCCTTCTTCCCAGATGCACATCCCCAAACCACCAGAGAGATTTGATCAAGTTTTACTAGCAACGGGAAGAAACATGTTTTTCTAAAACAAGCTGCAGGCCCTGCGGTAGGAGTGGTCAAGCTGGGGATTTCCAGTAAATAGGAGGGGCCTGCTAGTCATTTGAGGCTTAGCAGCCAGTGGGGAAATCAGTGCTAATTGGTTGCTGCTCTGATGGGAAGGTTGGCAGCCCACATCACACTGTGCTAGAGAACTCTTCACACCAGTGCAGGTAGTGCAGCATCCACACAACTGTTGTGCTGCTGGGAGGCTTATGTTGCTGTTCTGGGAATCAGCTGAGTTTGGCTGGCAGGAGTTGCAGGCTGTGGCAGGGCTCCAGGCTGATTGCAGATACATGCAGAGCTGTGACTAACACAAGGCGAGCTTCGCCAAGAAAACCTTGCAGTGCAGGTGAGGCCTGAGGTTTTAATGGAAGGGCTGTCTAAATCCCTGGGACAGTGTTTTAATGGGAGGACATGTCTGCAGCCCCCAACTGCTTTGAACCCCCCCCCCCCCCCCCAAACAAATTCTTCACCAGCAGTGACAATGGTGAAAGCTGGAGGCCTGGGTTCATCCAGACCCTTCAGCTTCCACTTACCTGCTTTGCCGAACAAGAAGAGGACTAATAGTCTCTGGCAGAGCCATCCCTAGGGGTGTGCAGGACACAGGGCATATCAGCCTGTGCGGGCCCAGGGGGTGGGGGTGACAGCCACCTGCAGAAGGTGGCAGCAGGGCTGCAGTGGGGCCTATACGGCACTGTCCATGGGGCCCCCCAAAGTGCAGGGCCCAGGGTGGTTGTGTGCCCCCACTAGGGACAGCCCTGGTCTCTGGTATCCAACTCACAACCCTGGCCTGCCAGGGCTTACATGTCTAACAAAACCTTCTCTTAAAGCCCTGCTAGGACTTCCAAATGTGTGTCCCACCTCCAGATAAGGGAGCATTTGGAAGCACACTCCTCCCCAGGCCAAGGCTCTTAGTGTACCTGATACAGGAACCACTGGGTTGGGATAACCCCACTGCTTCTCTTTGCTCACCTTCAGATGTCTCACACCTTCCGCAACTACAAGCCGGGAGTTCGCTACATCTTGTTTAAACACGGCGGGCAGGACACCCAGTTCTGGGCTGGCTGGTATGGGATCCGTGTGACCAACAGCAGCATCACCATTGGGCCAGGGACATCGGCGTGAGAGGAGAGCAGGAAGATGACCACTCCTGTCCACCTCAGGGCTATCCTCAGAGGGCATCACAGCATACTTGGTCACCCGTGCAATCCTTGAGGGCATCTCCAGGCCAGTCTTACACCTGAAGTCAGCCTCTCTGGTCATCTCATTTTTCTGGTCTCCGTATTTTCATACCCTAGCTGGAGCCAGGATCACTTGCTTCTCAGACTGAGCGCACCCTCCTGTAGGCCTTGCCCTCTGAAACAACCCTTTGTACGTTTGCTTCGCTCTCTTGACTTTATCCAGTGCAATTCAAAGATTTCACGTGCCAGGGAACCCAAGGGTGCTGTCAGCTGAGGGCATCTACCTCTGCTTAAAGCAAGGGTTATCAGCTGTGGCTGAGTCACTTTGTAAGAGAATTGGAACCACCTGCAGGATTTGGGTTTAACAGAGACCTGAGCAGGGGGAGGGGAAAGAAGAGGACCATGTCTGCAAGAGTCTATAAAATATCTCTCTCGTCTCCAAAAAAAAAAAAAAAAAAAAAAAAAGCCTTTCTTATTTAGCCTTGGGCCTGAGTCTTGCTTCATGGAGAGCTTTGCTCTGGAGAGGGCTTTGCTCTTCATTGGATGGGGGAATGGGCTTGGAATCTCTTCTTCGAACTGTTTCAGGAACTTGAATTTTTGATGTGAGCAAGAGTTTAGCATCCGACTAAACTCTGCTTCTATGCCCTCTCCACCCTGAGCTCCCAGTCCTCTTTGGTCACAGGGTCTTTCCAGGAACATAAAGACAAGGTGGAAGTGCTCTAGCTGAGTTTCAGCCAGGCCTCCAGGCCTCCTTGCTATACTGTAACAAGACCCCTGGGCCCCCCATCTCCCGAGTACCACATCTCACTGACTCTCAGAAACTAGAGCCCAATGGCAGGTGGAGCACAATTGACCCATTTGGTCCCAGGGAGCATTTCCCCCAAACTTGAGGCCTCTTCTTTGTCCACCTGGCCTGCAGTGCAGTAGTGAGTTGATGGGGGAAGGTGTAGTTACTCTTACACCCAGAGAGGGGCTTAGGATTGGAGAGGAGACTCCCTCTTTGCAGATGCTGCTTGCCTTATCATCTAAGGGCCCAGGTGGGTGATGCTGTGAGCTGGCTTGAGGGAGCTCTCAGCCCTATGTACCCAAAACACTTTGGTATGTCATGCCCTGGGGTTATAGAGAGGAACATGTACATTGCACATGGACAGATGGATTCTGACCAATAAAAGCTTTTCTGAATATGTGCCTCTGTTTCTCTTTCTCCATTAAAGCAGGGTCCTGCTCTGCTGCTGTGGAAAACAGCAGGGGAGGCCATGCAGGCAGGGATCTAAACATGTTGGTCCTGACCCAAAGGGAGTGCTGGTGCCAGCTTAGCTCTACTCAATCTTAGCAAGCTCTTCTTGAAGAGATGCCAGCTCTGAGTCGCATGGCCCTGCACAGCCAGCAACATATCAGGAGGGGGAGCTGAGGCTCAGGCTAGATTAGCAGAGTTGTCCTCTATTAACATTGCTCTGGATAGAAATCTTCCTTACAAGGAGAGAGAAGCTGGGAGCAACCAACCCGTCTGCTGGGAACAAGGGAGGTCTGAGGGATGAGGACAGTCACATCTCCAAAGCTGCTGTGCTGCTGGTAAGCATGTAGCATCAGGGGCTCAGCACTATACGACCACCTGGACTCCGAGGGATCTAAGGGCTAAACCAAAGCACCTTTCCTACCTGGCCCTGGAAACCTCCAGCAGAGCCTGTAGCGAGCTCCAGCTTCTGACACTGGAGGCGAAGAGGAGCCAGTCAGGTGTGAGGTGAGAGATATTGCTCCGATCAGAGAGTACATACCCCTCTGCCAGGGGGCATCTGATTTAACAGACCCCTGAGCAGCTCTGTTAGGCTAAAACACACTCCATGTTTATTGAAAACCACACATGACAATCACAGTGGACACACACATCCCTGGTGCAAGTCCAGCAACTTCAGCAGGGATAAATCTGTCTAATAAGCACAAACTTCCTCCAGGCTGTACCCAGCTGGATGTTCAGAGGTTCATGAAATGGATCCACACAGAAGTATCCAGGCTGATAGGGCAGGTTCCTAAACCCAAACCTTGAGCCCTGACTTCCACCCACTGGCCACATTACATCCTTCCACCCTCTGGCCAGGGACTCACAGTAACAATCTCTGTAGTCACACACACACACATACACAGGTACAGGCTCTTGCTCCATGTTTGGAGTCAGTTCTACATACAGCGGTAAGAGCACTTTAACCCAGGGGCAGCCAGGCTGGCAGAAGATGCCCCATGAACACAGAGTCACTGGCACAGGAAGCCAGCTGAAAAAATGCTTGGTATTGAGATAAAGTGTGTCCCAGCAGAAGACACCGGATTCCCCTGAAAGATCTGGTGAGGTCTGAACGAGGCTGAAAGTGATCAGAAGAGATGGACTCAGGTGCCTTTGTGGGCTCTTTCTTCTACATAGAGCTGCATCTGGAAGAGATTGTGGAAGTAATTAAGCAAAGAAAAACCCTGCAGGAGATACTCAGCTGTTCACAAGGTGCAGTACTAGCTTGATGTTTTTGTTCTCAGGGGAGGTGGTTGGGCAGTGGAGTTCTGTGAATGACAATTTTTTCCGTTCATTGGAAGGTCCATAAAAAGTCCTTAAGTTCTTGTCTGGGGTCAGCTCAAAGTGAAGCTTCCAGAATGGTTGGCTATAGCATCAATTTCTATTTTATGTTGAGAAAGCATATTGCCATTGCAACAACCCATTTTGAAATAAGAAGCAAACGAAGCACTTGGCTTATAAAATGCTGAAACATTTTTGGACAATTCACCACATTTGGCACAAACCTGCCAAAGAACCAAAAAATTGTGCGGGGAGGGGGGCAGTGGTAATCTAAAAACCCACCCATCTCTGCTCTGGTGGTGCCTCCCACCACATCTGTGTCTCTAGCTTTACATAAGGAAGAGTCTACCCATTATAGCTGGCCCTAGCTCGGCCACCCTTGGACCAGCCTCCTGTGCAGGTCAGGGAGGGCTCAGGAGCTCTGCTCACCTTCAGGATGTCAGAGGTCATGGTCTTCAGGGGGATCAGCCGGGGGTCGTGCATATGCACATCCTGCTCATCTGCAAGAATCCATGGGAAATCCTGGAGGCAGAGAAGACAACAGCCTTAGCACAGGGGGGGGATGAGCTTCCTTAGGCTCCCAGGAGGACTACAAATAGAAGCAGGGCTGGGAGGAGCTGGAAGCCCAGGGCTGCTCCTCATCTCCCCAGCTCCAAGTCTGTGGTAAAGGGGTAAGGAGGGAGTTAGGGGCTTGTGAGGAAAGAGGAGGGCATGCAAGGAACCAAAGCTAGGTCTGGACAGGGACTCGAGAACAGCAATGGAATTCCTCCTTGTGAGAGTGACTCATAGAGCAGCTCCTCGTTAGGCAACACCCCAGGCCATAGCTGCCCTTTAGCCAGGGGCTGGGCCTAGATCACCTACTGCAGAAGGGTGTCACCCACCTTTATCACCTGGATCTTCTCCATGTTGCGCGTGGCAGCTTCCCGTGTGTGGACCAAGACTGTGAAGGTGCAGCCTGCAAGGAAAAAGGAAGGCACTGGCATTGCACGGTCGGGGGAGGTACCATCCAAGGTGCAAGCAAAGCACTGCACCGACTAACCGACACCTCCGTGCCCCATGTCCACTGAAAACCGAATGCTTGAACACAGCCCTTTTGCACAGGGGTCATTAAGGTAATGTGTATCCTCTCAAATAATTGGCTCTCACTTCAGTGCTGTCCCTAGCACTGCCTAGACCTCACACCCCAAGCCCCAGGCTCCTCTATCCCCCACCCCACCTTAGTTTCCCTTCCACAAACCCATCCCTATCTCTGCAGCACTAAGGGGGAATATGGCTTTCCTTAACTCTGTTACAGAGTTCCTGCATCACCTCCCATTTCCCCCATGGCACAGACCCCCCAACACAACCCTGACGCTTGGTGCCTGCCTTCATTCTGCTGAAGACTATGTTGTGTTTCCAGTTTGCCCAGATACATCTGCAGACTTTCAGGATAAGAGAGCTTGGTGTGGAAATAGGATTCTACTCCATGTTCTAAGCCAGACCTACCTTTATCCACAAGTGTGGCCTGTGCTCTTGCACACCCCACCTAGAGCTGGGTGCATTTCAGTCATGCTGTATCCATGTACTTTGAAATGCTGCTGGGATAAAAGCCACTATATAAAGCCCAGCTCTCTTTACAGGTGCTGCTGTGGCTGGCTGGGTGAGGGCCCTGAGCTCAGTGGTATGGTGCTGCCTTTCCTGGCCAAGCATTTGACATCATGCTTCTGCAAAGCTGCCACTGAGCAAAGGTAGGGCTGGGGCCCTACCTGTCTATTTGTAACGTTCAAAATATTGTGGGCCCCAAGGCCCACCCGGCTAATGAGTATCCCCTATTGCACCCACCCGTCCTCAAAGGCATCCAAGGACCCGGTGAACACCTCCCACTGGTGCTCTGCCCAGAAATGTGCACGGACAAGCGAGAGGAAAGTGGCCTCTCAGTCTCTGGGCACTGGGGCCCTACCTGGGGGGTTGTGGTCGAGCACAGCATCACACACGCTGATCTTCAGGATGAAGGCACGCAACAGCTGCTCCACGTGGGACAGCAGGGAATCCGAGCTGGATGGAGAAGGGGATTGTTATGGAGCCTCCTCCCCACCAAAACAGATCACATGCAGGGAGAGGGCAGCAGGCTCTGGCCAGCCATGTGGAAACCATTACCTGATAGACAGCAGAGGTGGCTGTGTGATCTCGAAGACAAATCTCTCCACTGGGTGGTGCTCTTTATCCAGGATCACCACCACCACCTTCTCCACATCGTTCTGCAAGCACAAATCCAGAGCCCTACTTGGGGAGAGCTCCATGCCAGCCCCTGCCCTTCCACTGCCCCCAATCAGGAACTGGCTTGCTTCGCTGCAGTTTTGTCCCAATGCTTTGCAATGCCTGCCAGATGGCTACAATCAAGCACTTTGTCACTGTAATATCCAGAAAGGGGTCTTAATTGCAGGAGTTACCCTAAGACTTGCAGGGAGATGTGTTCCACAGAATGCAACTTTCCCATCTCCTGATGCTGCATTTCTAGGGGAGCAATGGGCAAAGCGCAGTCGGAGGCCTACACTCCCACCAAGCTTGGTCTGAGAGTATGGTACTTAAGGCAGGTTCTCTGCATGCCCAAATCTGGGACAGTAAGAGGCCACAGACAGTTCACGCTCATTGTAGAAAGTATCACAGCAATGCTCTGCCTCCACATGCACAGAGCAGAAGAATTAACAGAGCTTGTATTGGGGCTGTAGGTTCAAGAAGCCCCAGTGAGGCAAATTTAGCCCCAAAACTGACCTTATGTAAAGATTAAGTTTTTTAGGAAGTGCTTTGGATCAGATGCATCTAGACTTACACCCAGTGGAAGTGCCACTTTCAGAACAGAAAAGCCAACGATCTTTCCCATAGCATCTGCAATCCCAACACTGTAGCTCTGTGCTAATGCTCAAAGGTGAAGTGAACTGAAAACTACATTGGGAAGTGAAACTGGCTTGTTTTCAGACATCAAGCTGAGGGGACGTGCAAACTACAGAGCAGTGACAGTGAGCGAAGAATGGGCCAGGGGCCTGATCTTGCTATGAGCTCCAGACAGTCAGACCCTTTCACCCACAGAAAGAATCAGGAGTTGGATCATGTGCTTGACTTTGTTTTCAAGACTACCCCCAGTGATTTCCACATGGCTGTTAAAATGAATTCATGTTAATCTTCTGGGATTCATTTGTAATATACTGTATAGTTAAGGCCACGGTGGCCCTGAAGCAAGCTCAGGGTAATAAAATGCAAAGCAGCAAAGCTGGACCTGGGTGTGGGGAAAGCTTTATGAAAACACAGTGGATCTCTCACTTTCTCAATGGGTATATCTTACACAGAAGACAGGATCACTAGCCATGGGAGGTCCTGCATGCCTAATCTGCACTGAACAATTGCACAATTGTTGTATCAAAGCCAGAGGGGAAGGGAGTGGATAGGAGGGCACACATCCTGCCCCCTGGAGGCTGGCACGGCCTTACCTTCTCAAGCAGCGGCTTCACGCAGTGCAGAGTGTCCTGAATGTACCGGTTCAGCTCTGGGTGGCAGGACATCTGTGCAAGCAGAATGAGGAGTCAGCACTGAATAAGAGTAACCTGTTTTTTTCAAAGGCAGGGAGGAGCAGCAGCCCTGGCAAATGGGG